GGGGGCCCAGTAGTGACCCGGAAGCACTCGTCCCGGCGGTGACGTTTCGCGGAGGCGGGCCTAAAGGAGGCGGGGCCGCGGCTGCGCGCTGGGCCCGGGCAGAGGCCGACGCCCGTGCCCGGCGGAGGCGCGGTCCGGCCGGCGGGGGGCGGAGCTGGAGTCACACGGTCCCGCAAAGAAACCCGGAGGCTGCTCTCGGGCCCGAAGGGGCCCGACTGGAGCCGGCACCCGGAAATGAACGGGCGGAAGTGACGCACGCTGCGAGGCCGCGCACGGTGGCTGGCCGGGTTGTCATGGAAACGGATTCCGAGTCCGTGGGGAGGGGGCGGCCGCCTCGTGCGCTTCCCGCACTCGGGCCCTTTTTTTAGATCCCGAACTCCGCCTCGCACTGCGTCTGAGCAGGAGCTTTGGACGGACGCCCTAACCCCACTTGACAGACGCAAACGCCGCGGCTCGACGCGAGCCCGTGAGACACCAAGATCACGGGACCCTTGCTTGGAGGGTACACCTGGATGTTTTAAGAATCGGGAAGCCATTCTGCCTCGGACTCCTAACTGTGTGACCTTGGGCAAGCGCCTTTCCGTCGCTGAGCCTCAGTTTTCGCAGCTGTAAAATGGAATCAGCACACTGTAAGGAAAACCGTCGGGGAATTTTTAACCGCTGGAAAAGAAACCCAACACACTGCCTCCCCCATGTACTTCCTCAATCCTGAAGCCCACCCATCCCTCAACCCCACTTCCTGGGGCCTAGCGGCCACTTCTGCACGAGAGAACCCCACCCCTTCTGCTTCTGTAATCCTGCTTGCTTTCTGGTGCAAAGTATAAAAGCTGGGCACGCCCGCCCGACCTTCGGGGCCCAGACCTTCCAGACGCTAGTTCCTCTGGGCTAATGAATGTGTCCTTATTCAAGTTTTTCCAAGAGTGCCACCTGGTCATTCCCGAGTCACGGTTTTGCTGTTACAGTACTTGCCTCATAGGACCTTTATGAGAATTAAGTGAGCTAATAGATTAAAAACAAAAAATAACTGCTGTCCAGTGGTTACTGCAACTCCTGGCGACCCCGTGTGCCTCCGCGTAGAAAGAACTGTGCGGCCAGAGTGTTCAATGGCTGGTTTCATGGCGGCAAGCCCATCACCAGGTCTTTATTGTGAACTAACTGGGCGGCCTGGAACCTCCAGCCTTTCCCTTAGCCACCATTCGAGAACCAAATGCTAACCATTTACGTCACCTGGGAGTCAATGTGAGTGTATATAAACCGCTTGATGCTGCAGTCAGCATATAGTAAACACCTAATGTTAAAATTGGGTTCTATCAAAGGAAATGACCTCTCTGTTCCCTCAACTGCCCTATGTGGAAGCTCCAGCGGAGAAGAGCGCTCCCAGGCCACCTCCTTGGACTGAGGGCACCTGCCTTGTTTGCACAGGCAACACTGGCAGTAGCCTTGGCCATCTGCCCCTTAGCTGTTCATAAGTTTGTCTGTATGCCCACCCAGCACCTAGCCTGTGAATGATCCTCCCCAGGACCCAGCTGTTGCCAGTTCCCCGCCGAATGAATCCACAGCACTCGCACAGTGCCTAGCACATACTCAGATTCCACTGGATTTATGTACAATCGAACCACCCACTCTGATTTACCTACGAAGTATTGAAGACCCACGCCCACTCTATGCCAGGTTCTTGCCTTGCAACATGATCCTGGCTCCCTTCACAACCATCCCTTGGCCTCTGAATGTCCCTCCCCTCCCCTCTTCCTCACCTTCCTGGCTGCAAGCCCCAGCTCAGTCCTCACTTCCTTTCTGAAGCCGCCTCTGATTTCTCCAGGAAAAGACGGCCCCCCACAAAACTGCCTTTCATCATCATCTTCTCACCTCCTTTCAGGGTGGATTATATCTTTTTTAACCTGACCTCCCCACTGGGTCCAGAACGCTTTACTCATCCCACTCCCCTCTAACCCTGGAACATGGCTGGCCAGGAGGGGCCAACAGTGTTGGTTGCAAAATTCACTCTCTGAGCCTGGACGAGGAACAGGGTGGTGGGCAAGGCCTTGTGTGAGGAGTCAGAGAGGGAATTATCAGCCTGCTATTCAAACAGGAGTAATTACTATATTTATCTGTTCTACCTGGGCCCCCGCTCCTGGTCTTTGCCGGCCATTGATCGGCCCTTATTTCGGCTCTTCTCTTATAATCACCTGCAAGGTGACAATGTTTACAGGAATTCTAGCTGAGGAAAACGGGCCCACCCCAACCATGTCTGCTTTTCCAACAACTCAAAGCTCTCCTTTGGCAACTGTTAGGAGGCATTGCCTTTTCCTGGGAGACTGCTAATCCAAGCCCTTCCAGACCTTGAGGGTTATGCTCTTGTAAGACCCGTGCTGTGGGACCAAAGTGACAGTGGCAACTCAAAAGATTGAGTCGGAGACTTTGGGGGCAGTGGGTTTATGTGTGTGTGGGGTGGGGGGGGGTCCGCAGGTGGGGAAAGGAGGGTGACCAGGGTGGCACAACTTGGGATGTCTCCCATGTCACTGAATTGTACAGGTGGGAACTGTACAACAACCAATCCTTTCCGACACAGATGGAGTTTGAAGACATTCTGTTGAGTGGATGACGTCAATCACAAGAGGATGGATGCTGTATGGCCTCACTTATATAGAAAGACAGGAGCAGGCAAATGTCTACAGAGACCAACGGTGGTTAGTGGTGACCAGGGGTAGGAGGGAAGAAAGAGGGGGCTGCTAGTGCTTATGGAGTACTGAGTTTCTGTTTACAATGATGGGAAAACCACATTGATTAGGGGAAGACGGCACAGTTGTTTACATAACTGTCAATAAGTTGCACACCTGTAAAATACTGAATTGCCAAAAATCACAGTAAATATTTTTACAAAGGGGGGGAAAAGTATCTACTGAGGCTGCTTAAAACCAAAAACCAAACCCACTGCCACTGAGTTGATTGTAACCCACAGGCACCCTGTAGGGCCCAGAGAGGCTCCCAGGCTGTGCATCCTTACGGAAGCCGACTGCCCCCACTTTCTCCTGCACAGCAACCGCTGGGTCCAAGCACTGACAGCAGAGTGCTTAACCCCTGTGCCACCAGGAATCCCTTCAGGCCACTTAGGTATAACCAAGCCCTTCATCCATGAGATTTGATTTATGGGTTTGGGGATTTGGGGTCATGGCTTCATGGAACATCACAGTGAATTGACCTAATGACGTCTTTCTTGTTTCTGGTCGAACTCCTAGTTCACTGAGTAATGCCTGGGATATTAAAAGTGTGCAAGCAGCCAACCAAGGTATAACCGTTTGTCGGAGTCACAAAGGAAAGAGACGCGGCTAGGAGGCAGCTATGGCACACGTGGCTGGTCGTCTCCGTGGACAGAGGCCTCCGCCGCCATGAGACCAGAAGGACTGGATGGTGCCCGGCTCCAGTTACTGACTGTTCTGCTCAAAGATCCTATATCAGAATCTTGTTCAAAACGGGGCAGGGCGGGGGAATGCAGAACAGAATTTCAGATTCTCGTAGACTCCAGACTTTCTGGATGAACCTCTGAAACTATTATCCTGAGATAAACTTTAACCCTTTAACCAGAAATATTTGTCACATAAACCAAATCATCGAGCACATCCAAAAGCCTCCTTAAATCCAAACAATACTTAGCTAAGTAGTAGAAATTGCTTCCTTGGGCACTGGGCTCTTCTAAGATCCATTTCTAGGGGATCTAGAATTGCTCTTCCTCTTCCCACAGTGGCTTAAAGTGATCTGCCTAAATGGTTCGCTACTCACTTGACCCACAAAATCCCACAACATCATGTAAACGTGCCAATCAAGAGGGTCGAATCTTGGGGACCATTTTAAGACCACCCCAAGACTGCCCAGGCCACCAAGGGTGTGCCTATCCAGAAAGCCACGCAATATTTGAATAATGTCCCTTTGCAGAAGCAACATGTGCCCTTTTGACGTCATAACGGTGGCGTTGGTAAGGGTGCCCAGGCCAAACAGTGGGATTGGACCCAGGGCCGGTGGCCCAAAAAGAGTGCTGAAGTTTTGCTGCATGTGCTTACAGATGCAGAGAGCAATGCTGACCTTAAGGCTTTAGATGTGGATTCTCCTGTCCTTGATAGCACATCCAGGTGAACAAAGCCCCCAAAATGTGCCACTGGATTTAAACCAGAGCTCATGGTGGGATCAACCCGTACACAAGCTCCCCTTGCCACCTTGAGATGACCCTTACTGAAAAGGGACAAACTGTTCCTAAGCCAGAGGAGGTTGCACAGAAGGAAAAGTTATCACAGAAGAAAGTGAAGAAGCAAAAACGTATGGCTTGGGGAAAAATTAAGCTTAAAATAAAAGCTAATCGAAGTTTAAAAAAAATTATTTTTAAGATTGACAGCACAGGTTCCCAAATGTACTTGGCCTACTGCCCCCTTTTCAGAAAATAAATTACTCAGTGCTCCCTGGCAATTAAAAAAAATTGTACTGTAGCCTATAATCCAGGATAAAGTATAAGCATCTGCTTTTGCAATAAAAGCCCTCTGG